TACAAGCCTCCGGATGCAACATCCCAGCAATTCCAGGAACAGCTGTTAAAAATTGACCACTGTCTGGAAAATCTTCCAGCTCCTGCACCCAACATCTTGCTCCTGGGGGATTTCAACTTAAGGCACCTAAAATGGAGGAATATAGCAAATAATATTGTTGCAGTAATAACACCAGGAGGCAGCTCGGGATGAAAACTCACACTCACACGAGCTTTTAAATCTCTGCACAAAATTCAATTTAAACCAGCAAATAAATAGGCCTACTAGACTGGAGAATACACTAGACCTCATATTCACTAACAAGGGATGATCTGATAAAATGTCACCATATCAAAAACAATTTACTCAGATCACAACATAATTGAGGTCAGACATGTATGCGAGGAGCCCCAGACCGACAAAATGAGACTAGTCACGAGGGAGCATTCACCAAATTCAACTTCAATAACAAAAACATAAAGTGGGACCAAGTAAACCAAGTCCTAACCGTTTATAAGCTGGGAAGATAATACTAAGCAACACAGACCCAAACTTTGCCTAGAACAGATTAACTCGGTGGCACTCGATGTATGCACAAGGTTATTCCTCTAAGAAAAAGGGAGGATTAGATGTAAAATAGAAAGAGACAGGCGCTCCCTTTACAGGCGACGGAAAAAGAATAACAGAGCGGCTAAAAGAGGTCAATATATCTAAAATTTGCGCAGGGAGGACACTGGTCAGAGAAATAGCAAGCATCGAACTTAAGCTAAAAGAATCCTTTAGGAGTCAGGAATCGCGGGAAAAGAACAAAAAGCTATAAATGAAATCGAAAGAAACCCAAAGTATTTCTTCTCCTATCCCAAATCAAAATCGAGAACAACGCCCATATTGGGCCCCTACTTAAACAAGATGGGTCCTACACAGTGACAGCAAGGAAATGAGTGAGCTACTCAAGTCCCAATATGATTTCAGTTTTTAGCAAGCCGCAAACCCAAAGACTGAGAGTCAAAGATCAAAATGAATTTTTTATGAGAGAGCCAAAAAATTTTTGTTTAAAACACAAGCCTATCCGATGTTATCCTGACGCCAAATGACTTCGAACAGGCGATAAATGACTGCCCATGCACTCGCCCCAGGGCCGACTCATGGAACTCTGTGTTCATAAAGAACTGCAAGAAGCCCCTATAAACGAGCCTTTTCCATCCTATGGAGAGGGAGCATGGACACGGGGGTCGTCCCTCATGTTACTAAAACAACAGACATAGCCCCACTCCACAAAGGGGGCAGTAAAGCAACAGCAAAGAATACAGACCAATAGCACTAACATCCATATCATAAAAATCTTTGAAAGGGTCCTAAGAAGCAAGATCACCACCCATCTAGAAACCCATCAGTTACACAACCCAGGGCAATGGGTTTAGAACAGGTCGCTCCTGTCTGTCTCGGGCTACTGGATCACTACGAAAAGGGTCCTAAAGGCACTAGAAGACAAAAGAATGCAGATGTAAATATCCCAGACTTTGCAAAAAGGCCTTCGACAAGTGTGACCATGGCGTAATAGCGCACAAAATGCGCGCTAAAGGAATAACAGGAAAAGTCGGTCGATGGATCTATAATTTCCTCACTAACAGAACACAGAGAGTAGTCGTCAACAGAGTAAAGTCCGAGGCAGCTAACGGTGAAAAGCTTCTGTTCCACAAGGCACCGTACTAGTCCATCTTGTTCCTAAATCCTCATACCCGGGACATAGACAAGGATGTCAGCCACAGCACCGTGTTTTCCCTTTGCAGATGACACCCGAATCTGCATGACAGTGTTTTCCCATTGCAGACACTGCAAGACTCCAGGCGGACATCAACCAAAAATCTTTCAGTGGGCTGCAGAAAACAATATGAAGTTCAACGATGAGAAAATTTCAATTACTCAGAAAATGGTAAAACATGAGGAAATTAAACCCTTCATCAGAGTACAAAACAAATTCTGGCCACGAAATAGAGCGAAACACCAACGTCAAAGACCTGGGAGTGATTATGTCGGAGGATCTCACCTTAAAGGGGACCATAACATTGTTCAATCGCATCTGCTAGAAAAATGACAGGATGGATAATGAGAACCTTCAAAACTGGGGAGGCCAAGCCCACGATGACACTCTTCAGGTCACTTGTTCTATCTGGGGCTGGAATATTGCTGCACTCTAACAGCCCTTTTCAAAGCAGGTAAAAATTGCCGACCTAGAAAATGTAAGGAGAACTTTCACGGCGCGCATAACGGAGATAAAACCCCTCCAATTACTGGGAGCGCTTGAGGTTTCTAAACCTGTATTCCCTGGAACGCAGGGGGGAGAGAATTATGATTATATACACCTGGAAAAATCTTGGGAGGGACTAGTACCGAAACTTCCCACACGAAAATCACTCACTACGAAAGAAAAAGATTGGCAGACGTTTGCACCATCCCCCCAATGAAAAGCAGGGGTGTCACTAGCACGTTAAGAGACCATACAATAAGTGTCAGGGGCCCGGACTTTTTCAACTGCCTCCCAGCACACAAAGGGGGATTACCAAACAGACCCCTGGCAGTCTTCAAGCTGGCACTGGACAAGCACCTAAAGTCAGTTCCTGATCAGCCGGGCTGTGGCTCGTACGTTGGTTTGCGTGCAGCCAGCAGCAACAGCCTGGTTGATCAGGCGCTGATCCACCAGGAGGCCTGGTCACAGACCGGGCCGCGGGGGCGTTGACCCCCGAAACTCTCTCCAGGTAAACTCCAGGTAAACACTAGTGTCAGCAGGTGTGTCTCCAGGGAGGAACAACACTGCCCAGCCATGTGTCAGCAGGTGTGTAGCACTAGTGTCAGCAGGTGTGTCTCCTGGAGGAACAACACACTCCCCAGCATTTTCAGCAGGTGTGTAGCACTAGTGTCAGCAGGTGTGTCTCCAGGGAGGAACAACACTGCCCAGCCATGTGTCAGCAGGTGTGTAGCACTAGTGTCAGCAGGTGTGTCTCCACGGAGGAACAACACTGCCCAGCCATGTGTCAGCAGGTGTGTAGCACTAGTGTCAGCAGGTGTGTAGCACTAGTGTCAGCAGGTGTGTAGCACTAGTGTCAGCAGGTGTGTAGCACTAGTGTCAGCAGGTGTGTAGCACTAGTGTCAGCAGGTGTCTCCAGGGAGGAACAACACTGCCCAGCCATGTGTCAGCAGGTGTGTAGCACTAGTGTCAGCAGGTGTGTAGCACTAGTGTCAGCAGGTGTGTAGCACTAGTTTACCTGGAGTTTACCTGGAGAGAGTTTCGGGGGTCAACGCCCCCGCGGCCCGGTCTGTGACCAGGCCTCCTGGTGGATCAGCGCCTGATCAACCAGGCTGTTGCTGCTGGCTGCACGCAAACCAACGTACGAGCCACAGCCCGGCTGATCAGGAACTGACTTTAGGTGCTTGTCCAGTGCCAGCTTGAAGACTGCCAGGGGTCTGTTGGTAATCCCCCTTATGTGTGCTGGGAGGCAGTTGAACAGTCTCGGGCCCTGACACTTATTTTTAGGGTCTCTTAACGTGCTAGTGACACCCTGCTTTTCATTGGGGGGATGGTGCATCGTCTGCCAAGTCTTTTGCTTTCGTAGTGAGTGATTTTCGTGTGCAAGTTCGGTACTAGTCCCTCTAGGATTTTCCAGGTGTATATAATATGTATCTCTCCCTCCTGCGTTCCAGGAATACAGGTTTAGAAACCTAAAGCGCTCCAGTAATTGAGGTGTTTTATCCCCGTTATGCGCGCCGTGAAGGTTCTCTGTACATTTTCTAGGTCGGCAATTTCACCTGCCTTGAAAGGTGCTGTTAGAGTGCAGCAATATTCCAGCCTAGATAGAACAAGTGACCTGAAGAGTGTCATCATGGGCTTGGCCTCCCTAGTTTTGAAGGTTCTCATTATCCATCCTGTCATTTTTCTAGCAGATGCGATTGATACAATGTTATGGTCCTTGAAGGTGAGATCCTCCGACATGATCACTCCCAGGTCTTTGACGTTGGTGTTTCGCTCTATTTCGTGTCAGCATGTGTGTCTCCTGGGAGGAACAACACTGCCCAGCCATGTGTCAGCAGGTGTGTAGCACTAGTGTCAGCAGGTGTGTCTCCTGGAAGGAACAACACTGCCCAGCCATGTCAGCAGGTGTGTAGCACTAGTGTCAGCAGGTGTGTCTCCAGGGAGGAACAACACTGCCCAGCCATGTGTCAGCAGGTGTGTAGCACTAGTGTCAGCAGGTGTGTCTCCTGGGAGGAACAACACTGCCCAGCCATGTGTCAGCAGGTGTGTAGCACTAGTGTCAGCAGGTGTGTCTCCAGGGAGGAACAACACTGCCCAGCCATGTGTCAGCAGGTGTGTAGCACTAGTGTCAGCAGGTGTGTCTCCAGGTTGGAACAACACTGCCCAGCCATGTGTCAGCAGGTGTGTAGCACTAGTGTCAGCAGGTGTGTTCCAGGGGGAAAAAACACTGCCCAGCCATGTGTCAGCAGGTGTGTAGCACTTGTAAAGCAGGTGTGTCTCCTGGGAGGAACAACACTGCCCAGCCATGTGTCAGCAGGTGTGTAGCACTAGTGTCAGCAGGTGTGTCTCCAGGGAGGAACAACACTGCCCAGCCATGTGTCAGCAGGTGTGTAGCACTAGTGTCAGCAGGTGTGTCTCCAGGGAGGAACAACACTGCCCAGCCATGTGTCAGCAGGTGTGTAGCACTAGTGTCAGCAGGTGTGTCTCCTGGGAGGAACAACACTGCCCAGCCATGTGTCAGCAGGTGTAGCACTTGTGTCAGCAGGTGTGTCTCCAGGGAGGAACAACACTGCCCAGCCATGTGATTGACACCACCTGTTTCCAACCTTATTTTTCCCTCAGTGTTTTACAAACTTTTATTAAATAAATAACGTTACTAAGGTAATAACCGCAGACGGACAACAAAGTAAAAGTTCCAGAGAACATTTCAAGACAATATAACTGCCGTGAAAATCTATATTAATTAAGAATAATGGAGATACATGAGAGGCGGTGTTGTAGATGGTGGAGTCAGTGGTGTTCCCAGAGCCAAGCTGCTGCTGCTGCTGCCTCTCTTCTTCCTCTTAACCTTCTAGCTGTCTCACCCCTGCGGGTTTACCACATGGTTGTGATATAGGAATCATCATAACCTTTGCTGTTTCAGCTAAGAATAGTTAATGACGGGATCTTAATATATCATCCAAGTGATTCAAGGTAAGTTTGTTTAGCAGTGCTTTGATCCAATGACCTGGAGCTACAGTGCCATCCCTTGGATCAAACCTGATATTTTTTTTTATATTTTACTTAAATACACTACATAACAAGAAAACCTGATATTATATTTCCTAGGTGCTATATGACCCCTAAGGGTTTAGCACTTCGTCGTAAATATAAAATAATTGCGTTGTCAGTTTTTTCTACTATTAAGGTACCCTTAACAACGTCATTTTAATAAAACTTGATATAGTTACAATTAACCATCATTTAAACCAAAAAATGTTCAATATTAGGTTTAATTTGTCATGAACACTGGTTTATATTATGCAGATTTAATGGAAATAAGTCACTTTGATTTTTTGGGTTATCCTGGGTAATATACACATGTTACTATATATAATAATTGTACTTACGTGTACCTGTATCTTAATAAATGTATCTAACCTAGTGTAACCTTACTCCGCCAGCAGTAGCTGTAGGACTAACTCGCCTTTCTTTACATACAATTAATCTCTTTACGTTTGCTGTGATGGGCCAGGAGCTGCAATATTAACCGTTTATTGGCCCTGGTATTATGCACCTCTTAAGACTAAATATATTTTTAATAATATTTTCCAAAATAACAATTTAGCTAAGAAAAAAATTGTGCCGGGGTGTAGACGGCAGCTGGTGTCAGTAGTACAGGTGGTGTCAGTAGTACAGGTGGTGTCAGTAGTACAGGTGGTGTCAGTAGTACAGGTGGTGTCAGTAGTACAGGTGGTCAGTGGTACAGGTGGTGTCAGTGGTACAGGTGGTGTCAGTAGTACAGGTGGTGTCAGTGGTACAGGTGGTGTCAGTGGTACAGGTGGTGTCAGTGGTACAGGTGGTGTCAGTAGTACAGGTGGTGTCAGTAGTACAGGTGGTGTCAGTAGTACAGGTGGTGTCAGTAGTACAGGTGGTGTCAGTAGTACAGGTGGTGTCAGTGGTACAGGTGGTGTCAGTGGTACAGGTGGTGTCAGTAGTACAGGTGGTGTCAGTAGTACAGGTGGTGTCAGTAGTACAGCTGGTGTCAGTAGTACAGGTGGTGTCAGTAGTACAGGTGGTGTCAGTAGTACAGGTGGTGTCAGTAGTACAGGTGGTGTCAGTAGTACAGGTGGTGTCAGTAGTACAGGTGGTGTCAGTAGTACAGGTGGTGTCAGTGGTACAGGTGGTGTCAGTAGTACAGGTGGTGTCAGTGGTACAGGTGGTGTCAGTAGTACAGGTGGTGTCAGTTTGTACAGGTGGGGTCAGTGTACAGCTGGTGTCAGTAGTACAGGTGGTGTCAGTAGTACAGGTGGTGTCAGTAGTACAGGTGGTGTCAGTAGTACAGCTGGTGTCAGTAGTACAGGTGGTGTCAGTAGTACAGGTGGTGTCAGTAGTACAGGTGGTGTCAGTGTACAGGTGGGTGTCAGTAGTACAGGTGGTGTCAGTAGTACAGGTGGTGTCAGTAGTACAGGTGGTGTCAGTAGTACAGGTGGTGTCAGTAGTACAGCTGGTGTCAGTAGTACAGGTGGTGTCAGTAGTACAGGTGGTGTCAGTGGTTTCAGGTGGTGTCAGTGTACAGGTGGTGTCAGTAGTACAGGTGGTGTCAGTAGTACAGGTGGTGTCAGTAGTACAGGTGGTTTTCAGTATTTCAGGTGGGGTCAGTAGTACAGGTGGTGTCAGTAGTACAGGTGGTGTCAGTAAGTCAGGTGGTGTCAGTAGTACAGGTGGTGTCAGTAGTACAGGTGGTGTCAGTATACAGGGGGTGTCAGTAGTACAGGTGGTGTCAGTAGTACAGGTGGTGTCAGTAGTACAGGTGGTGGGCAGTAGTACAGCTGGTGTCAGTAGTACAGGTGGTGTCAAATAGTACAGGTGGTGTCAGTGGTACAGGTTTGGTGTCAGTAGTACAGGTGGTTCAGTAGTACAGGTGGTGTCAGTAGTACAGGTGGTGTCAGTGTACAGGTGGTGTCGTAGTACAGGTGGTGTCAGTGGTACAGGTGGTGTCAGTGGTACAGCTGGTGTCAGTAGTACAGGGGTTTTCAGTAGTACAGTGGTGTCAGTAGTACAGGTGGTGTCAGTAGTAAGGTGGTGTCAGTAGTACAGGTGGTGTCAGTAGTACAGGTGGGGTCAGTAGTACAGGTGGTGTCAGTAGTACGGTGGTGTCAGTAGTACAGGTGGTGTCAGTAGTACAGGTGGTGTCAGTAGTACAGGTGGTGTCAGTAGTACAGGTGGTGTCAGTAGTACAGGTGGTGTCAGTAGTACAGGTGGTGTCAGTAGTACAGGTGGTGTCAGTAGTACAGGTGGTGTCAGTAGTACAGGTGGTGTCAGTAGTACAGGTGGTGTCAGTAGTACAGGTGGTGTCAGTAGTACAGCTGGTGTCAGTAGTACAGGTGGTGTCAGTAGTACAGCTGGTGTCAGTAGTACAGGTGGTGTCAGTATACAGGTGGTGTCAGTAGTACAGGTGGGTCAGTAGTACAGGTGGTGTCAGTAGTACAGGTGGTGTCAGTAGTAAGGTGGTGTCAGTTTGTACAGGTGGTGTCAGTAGTACAGTGGTGTCAGTAGTACAGGTGGTGTCAGTAGTACAGGTGGTGTCAGTAGTACAGGTGGTGTCAGTAGTACAGGTGGTGTCAGTAGTACAGGTGGTGTCAGTAGTACAGGTGGTGTCAGTAGTATAGGTGGTGTCAGTGGTACAGGTGGTGTCAGTAGTACAGGTGGTGTCAGTAGTACAGGTGGTGTCAGTAGTACAGGTGGTGTCAGTAGTATAGGTGGTGTCAGTAGTATAGGTGGTGTCAGTGGTACAGGTGGTGTCAGTAGTACAGGTGGTGTCAGTAGTACAGGTGGTGTCAGTAGTACAGGTGGTGTCAGTGGTACAGGTGGTGTCAGTAGTACAGGTGGTGTCAGTAGTAAAAGGGTGGTGTCAGTAGTACAGGTGGTGTCAGTAGTACAGGTGGTGTCAGTAAATACAGGTGGTGTCAGTGGTACAGGTGGTGTCAGTGGTAAGGTGGTGTCAGTGGTTTCAGGGGGTGTCAGTATACAGGTGGTGTCAGTAGTACAGGTGGTGTCAGTAGTACAGGTGGTGTCAGTAGTACAGGTGGTGTCAGTGGTACAGGTGGTGTCAGTGGTACAGGTGGTGTCGTAGTTTCAGGTGGTGTCAGTAGTACAGGTGGTTTTCAGTAGTAAGGTGGTGTCAGTAGTAAGGTGGTGTCGTAGTACAGGTGGTGTCAGTGGTACAGGTGGTGTCAGTGGTACAGGTGGGGTCAGTGGGAAAAGTTGGTGTTAGTGGTACAGGTGGTGTTAGTGGTACAGGTGGTCAGTGGTACAGTTGGTGTTAGGGTACAGGTGGTGTTAGTGGTACAGTTGGTGTTAGTGGTACAGGTGGTGTCAGTGGTACAGGTGGTCAGTGGTACAGTTGGTGTTAGTGGTACAGGTGGTGTTAGTGGTACAGGTGGTCAGTGGTACAGTTGGTGTTAGTGGTACAGGTGGTGTTAGTGGTACAGTTGGTGTTAGTGGTACAGGTGGTGTCAGTGGTACAGGTGGTGTTAGTGGTACAGGTGGTGTCAGTGGTACAGGTGGTGTCAGTGGTACAGGTGGTGTTAAATGTACAGTTGGTGTTAATGGTACATTTGGTGTCAGTGGTATATGTGTCAGTGGTACAGTTGGTGTCAGTGGCACATGTGTCAGTGGTACAGATGGTGTTAATGGTGCAGGTGGTAAGAAGACACTAAACTACAAGAAGCCTTTATTGGTACATCAATCCATCCACTAGGGTCTTCTTCAAGTACAATAGAGTATAATACAGTACCTGGAAAGCATGAGAACAATGATCTTTCGTGGTACACTCAGTGTTTGAGGTCAGGAAATTCAGCTGTAGGAGGCAGATGTATTTCTTTCTGCATATATGTATACTGTATATATATTCACTTGGGAGTTTACTTCAATCCATGTTTTAGGGATTCAAGTATTTTTGCTAGGTGGTGATAAAGTTATGTTCAACTTTGATGATCCTAGCGTAGTCAAATGGCTTTCAACCCCATTAACCATTATGTTTTAAGTTGAGTGTGGCCAAGGTGAATGTCACTGTTCTGAGTAATGGTGTTGGATAGTATGATGATCGAGGACTCCAGGCATATACATTTAATTTTGTCATTTTTAACCCTCTTGGAAGATTGCTGTCTACCAATGTTACTTTTACTTTCAGATGAGTGTGGTGTTGGTGTTGGGTTCTGGTGGTAGGGAGCATGCTCTAGCTGCTGCCCTGGCTGCCTCTCCTGCAGTGTCATCTGTCCTCGTTGCCCCGGGTAATGCTGGCACTTACACCACTCCCAATGTCACCAACATTTCCCTCAACATCAAGGATCACCAAGTAAGGCATATAAAACTTGAACGTTGCTAATGTACAGATGCATTGTTAAAAGTTTATATTGTGGAATGTGGTAATTTTGGTGACCACTATTATGGGACTCTATGTGATAGATATGTTACTGTATTGTGCATATATTTTTATTGGGTTTTCCAGGCAGTTGTTGGTGTATGCAATGATCGTAAAGTCAGTGTGGTGGTCATAGGGCCAGAGGACCCTTGGCAGATGGTCTGGCCAACCCCACTTACTGCTGCAGGAAAATTTAAAGGGTTTGGCTTAAGTTTATGAAGTAAATACTAACAAATTTTTATAATCCATTGATGCTATTTAAACTGATTAAAATATTCATTAACTTTTTTTTGTTTCTGTAAAATCAGTATACCTGTAAATTTTTTTTAACATGGCTGTCTCCCATTGAGGTAGTTTAGCCTGACAAGAAAAAGATTTTTACTATGGGGCAGGGAAAGTGGTGTTAAAAATCCAGGTGGCCAGTGGTAATTGGGTATGGAGGAAGTTTCATGTAGGGTGGGGGGGTTTAATAAGAAAAATAATAAAAAGCTTTAGGACAAAAAATGACTTTTTTTCCTTATACTGGCTTAAAGTATGGAAAGTTGGGAAAAAATGTCTCCTTTTGGAAAAGGTTGGGAAAAATTTTCCATGTGGGGGTATTCTTTCGCAATTATTTTCCTTTATAAATTAAATTGAATTTTACAATCCAGTTTGTTCAATAATTGTGAGGGGAGAAAGTTAGTATTTAATTTGTATTGATAAAATTTTTTTTTTTAAACTTATTTTTTTAAAGGGATTATTCAAGGGAAACACTTCGATAATTGTTGTATATAATGACGTACTCCGATAAAATTTTTTTGGGTTAAAATTTGGAAATTGGAAATTTACTTACTTCTTAAATAAAAAGGGGGGGTTCTTTTTAAAGGAACTTTCTTAAATTTTTTGGCTCTTTTAATACCCGTTGTGGTAAGCATGGCACTTTAATTTTATTTCAAACGTTTCCCTCAACACAGAGGTTTCTCAGCAGTACAAAATTGATGAAGAAAGAAAATTAAGGTTAAATTTGGATATTAAGTTTTGGGTTTGTCCTATTATGGGATGGATTTTTCATAGTTAACATAGGGGATAAATAAGGTTTTAGCTTTTTTAGCAAGGGTAAACGTAGGTACTGTGGGTGAATAAGGTGGGATCGGCCTTCTTAATCTGGCCCCACTATGGAGGTTGTGGTTAAGTGTTGAACCAAGATCTTTGCATTTAACAAATGTTTTTAAAAAGGGTTAAAATACCAAAGTTTTAGGTGAAAATAAACAGTTACGGAAATTTTTTTTTAAAACCTGCTTCCCATTAGGTTTTAGCCGAAAAGAAAAGTTTAAACAAGTATTTGAAAGTTTCAGAAACCCAAATCAGTGTCAGCCCCCCAAACTGGAGAGACCATTTTCTTAGATGAAAAAATAGAATACAGGATTTAATGCCCAAAATGATTCATACCTATATAAACCAGAGACTAGACTCAAAACCTCCTTGTCCTTTGAAATTTCCTAACTTGATCTTCCCAACACCCTGTCTATTTTATTACCTTTTAAGTTCATTTTTCATCCTCACCAAAAATCTTTGGTACAACCTCAATCAACTCAAAAAACTCCCAATAGGCTAAAAATTTGAAAACATGCTCCCCAAATTAAATTCTTACCTTCTGTAACCTTTTTACTTCTGGCCTATAAAAAGGTATCCTGTCCTTTTTTCAAATTTTTAAACCCATCGAACAATGTCTTTAAAACTAATGATAAAATTTAAGGGGTGAAAAAGGTTTAAAAGGTCTTAGAATTTCTTTACAATTTCCGTACGACATGAAGCCTATTGGAAGGGAATTTTCCCATTAGGTTTGGGTTCAATGTGCAATAAAAAACCTTGGAAAAAAATTTTTTATTTCAATTTTGGGCCTTTGAAAAGGTTCTTGGTACAGCCTGCTTAAAAAAAATCCATGTGGCCATTGAGAAACCTGTCCTCCTCAAATTGAGTTTATACAATCCCTCGTCTCACCTTTGGGCTTTTAAAAGGCCCATTGCATTATTAATATTTTTCTTATTTTTAAAATCCTTTTTGTTGAGGGATACCACCCAAACTTTAATGTATGACAATACAGTTTCAGTATCTCCTTTTTTAAAAATTTTGGTTGATAAGAACCTAGTTTACCAATCTTTGAAAAGAACCAAACTTATATTTTCCCAGGAACATTTGCAGCTAGTTACACAATAATGGAGCAAACATGCTAACCAGAAACCAGGCAGCATTCCAATATAATTGTCCGATGTACATCTTGCATAGTTCCACAGACTCAAGATTCTTCAGATTCAAACAATTTTACTCACTCCACCTCTCCTCTCCTTCAGGGAGAGTATATGTGTGTGTGCATACACATTGTTTCATCTGTTTAATTTAATGGAAACGTTGTCCCAATAAAAGCTTGTTTTGCAAACTTTTCTTTTCTTCAGTAATAGTAGATGTTTCTCTTGGTCTGTTTGCTTTGGTGGGAACAACCAGTGCATTAAAATAGATAAAAAATTTGCAATATGGACTGTCAGTCATCTATTATATTATCATTACATTTTTTATTTGTTTATACCCTGACAGTTTTATGTGAAATATTTTTATTGTATGTTAATAGGTATTTGGACCAACGAAAGAAGCAGCCCAGATTGAAGCCAGCAAAGCCTGGGCTAAAGATTTTATGGTGCGTCAAGGAGTGCCAACGGCCAGCTATTCAACATTCACTGATCCTCAGCAAGCTAAAGACTTTATAAAGAAGTGAGAACTGTGAACCTTTATATGGAAACAGTCAAATACATATAGTATACTGCTGCATACCGAAGATACCATGAGAAAAGGTATATGTATTGATAGAGGCAAGACATTAATTTGTTTAAAATTTCCAGAGGATCTTGGTCAGGGTATGTGGTGAAAGCCTCAGGATTGGCAGCTGGGAAAGGTGTAGTGGTTGCAGAATCTCCTGCGTCTGCTATGGAAGCTGTAGACACTATCAGTAAATGCTTTGGCACTGCTGGAGACACGATAATTGTAGAGGAGCTGCTACAAGGAGAAGAGGTTTCTGTAAGTGTCTGAAATGATTTTCACACACACATGATTGGAGGTGATTGAATATTGTTTTATGCATGACAGTATTTCCATGGGTGATGTCAGTAGAATGGTTATCCATCCATTGTCTCCTACAGTACTCAAATATTTTTGGGGGCTTGAGATTATCATTCACTTTCTCACTCGATGGTACACTTGCCACTGTTAGTCATGTGGTACATGCTAGTCAGGCCATATACTGTTAAGTCTTCAGCTGATTTAAATATATGGCAGTATTTTCATTATTGTACTTTGTCATATAAGATGTGATGTAAAAAACTCCAAAATTTGCACTGCTAATTCTGCTAAAATAGATGTATAACCAAGGAAACATTTTTTTACTTTTTTTTTTTTAACATGTCGACCATTTCCCATTGAGTTAGAGTGACCCCAAAAGATAGAAAAAACTTTCATCATTCAACACAAAATTCATCTGTCGATATTTCAACCAAAAATGTGAGTTGGACCTGGGAAGCATCAGGACCCCGACTGTCGCTCTCATGGTATAGACACGACTCTTCCTTAACCCTTAAATGGTCCAAACATATATAAACGTTTTTTCAACATCTGAAAGTATGTAAAAAAATGTAGATCTTTTTTGTTTTACATTTGAAAACGTGTAAAAAAAACTTATCTACATTTTTTTTTGTTATTGAAAATATGTAAAAAAAAAGTAGATCTACTTTTGTAGCACTACGAATTTGAACGTCGATCTCTTTGGACCATTCGAGGGTTAATTAAGGAAACTTTTTTTTTTTTTTTTTTTTATAACAAGTCGGCCGTCTCCCACCAAGGCAGGGTGACCCAGAAAGAAAGAAAATCCCCAAAAAGAAAATACTTTCATCATCATTCAACACTTTCACCTCACACATAATCACTGTTTTTGCAGAGGTGCTCAAAATACAACAATTTAGAAGTATATAGTGGACCCCCGCATAACGATCACCTCCGAATGCGACCAATTATGTAAGTGTATTTATGTAAGTGCCTTTGTACGTGTATGTTTGGGGGTCTGAAATGGACTAATCTACTTCACAATATTCCTTATGGGAACAAATTCGGTCAGTACTGGCACCTGAACATACTTCTGGATTGAAAAAATATCGTTAACCGGGGGTCCACTGTATATGTACACAACATATCCCTCCAAACTGCCAATATCCCAAACCCCTCCTTTAAAGTGCAGGCATTGTACTTCCCATTTCCAGAACTCAAGTCCGGTTATATAAAAATAACCATCTCCCTGAATCTCCTCACTAAATATTACCCTGTTCACACTCCAACAGCTCGTCAGGTCCCAAAAACCATTTGTCTCCATTCACTTCTATCTAACATGCTCACGCATGCTTGCTGGAAGTCCAAGCCCCTCGCTCACTAAACCTCCTTTACCCCATCTCTCCAACCCTTTCGAGGATGACCCCTACCCTGCCTTCCTTCCCCTATAGATTTATATGTTTTCCATGTCATTCTACTTTGATCCATTCTCTCTAAATGACCAAACCCCCTCAACAACCCCTCTTCAGCCCTCTGACTAATATTTTTATTAACTCCACCCTTCTCCTAATTTCCACACTCCAAAATTTTCTGCATAATATTTAACCACACATTGCGCTTAGACAGAACTTTCATGCCTCCAAACTGTCTCTCGTTGCTGCATCTACAACCCAAGCTTCACACCCATATAAGAGTGTTGGTCCCAACTATACTCTTATACATTCCCTTCTTTGATAAGTTAGACAACGTTCTTTGTTCCACATATACCTCAGCGCACCACTTCCCTTTTTTTCCTTCATCAATTCTGTGATTAACCTCATCCTTCATAAAGCCATCCGCTGACACGTCAACTCCCAAATATTCTGAACACATTCACTTCTTCCTTTTCCCTCCCCCTCCCAATATGATATCCAATTTTTCTTTATCTAAATCATTTGATACCCTCATCACCTTACTTTTTTCTATGTTCACTTTCAACTTTCTACCTTTACACACTCTCCCAAAACTCATCCACTAACCTTTGCAATTTTTTTTTTAGAATCCCCCATAAGAACAGTATCATCAGCAAAAAGTAACGTGTCAATTCCCATTTTGTATTTGATTCCCCATAATTTAATCCCCCCCTCTCCCGAGCACCCTAGCAGTTACTTTTTTTTACAACCCCATCTATAAATATATTAAACAACCATGGTGACATTACCCCATCCCTGTCAAAAGACCTACTTTTACCGGAAAGTGTCTCCTTCTCTTCTACACACCCTAACCTGAGCCTTACTATCCTCATAAAATCTCTTTACAGCATTTAGTAACTTACCACCTATTCCATATACTTGCAACATCTGCCACATTGCTCCCCATCCACTCTATTATATGCCTTTTTTAAATCCTAATGCAATAAAAATTTCCCTACCTTTATCTAAATACTGTTCACATTATATGCTTAAATGTAAACACTTGATCTACACATCCCCTACCCACTCTAAAACCTCCTTGCTCATCCGCAATCCTACATTCTGTCTTACCTCTAATTCTTTCAATAATAACCCTACCGTACACTTTTCCTGGTATACTCAGTTAACTAATTCCTCTATAATTTTTACAGTCTCTTTTGTCCCCCTTCCCTTTATATAAAGGGATTATACACGCTCTCCGCCAATCCCTAGGTACCTTCCCCTCTTTCATACATTTATTAAACAAAAATGCCAACATATAACATATGATGCTTTATTTGCTCAGACTTCATTTACACAAGCTGGGCAATGGGTAGCACAGTGAACACCCAACATGAACATAGGCTCTGAGCTAGTTCTCATTTTGTTGTTCCACAGTGCTTCTGCTTGTTATGCAGATATTTACATAAACCGTAATACAGCAATTTTTCATCTACAGGAGAGGCAGTATCAAGTGTTACCGGTAGAAATGTCTCGTCAATGTATGTGCTACCATAACTCTCATACTTGCCAACACACTTTAGTAGTCATCATATGTCCTCTACAACATGCAACCATACATCACTCTGCAGCATGCCATCACACTTTACCACCCTGTACAACATATCACCACACTTCACCACCCTCTACAACATACCACCTCACTTTGCCCCTCTGTAATATGCCATTATACTTCACCCTCTGCATGTCATTACACTTCACATCTCAATTTTTGTTTTATTATTAACACGTCGGCCATTTCCCACTAAGGCAGCGTGACCTGAAAAAAGAAGAAATACTTTCATCATCATTCACTCCATCACTGTCTTGCCACAGGCCCACCTACACTACAGTTCAAAAACTGCAACATATCTCCACCCCTCCTTCAGAGCACAGGCACTGTACCTTGCCTCCACTCACTCCTATCTAATGCATTCATGCACGCTTTATGGAAGTTGAAGCCCCTCTGCACACTAAACTTCCTTTACCCCCCCCCCACACATCTTAGTTGTGTGCACCAATACTTCATTATGATCTGTGCATGAGAAGGTAATGATGTACTGTTGTGCGTTTACTGTTGACATTGCTGTTAAATGCAGTATTCTAAGTGTACTTTCTAACTCCTCCTCACTGTCTCTCACATTCACTATATGATGTCCCCAGTTGTGTGGTAATGTTATGGCAGTAACTGTGGTAGGCACATACATGACAATATGCGCTAAAATGGTTATAAAATCTCCTTAAATTAAGGGTGCGTCTAATACATTTAAAATGTAAAAATTATGCTTTAGAACATTGTTCCTTTTATGCCATGATCTTTCATTAGGTATTGTGCTTCACTGATGGAAATACAATAGCTGTAATGCCTCCAGCCCAAGACCATAAGCGACTTCATGATGGTGATCAGGGACCAAACACTGGAGGTATGGGGGCTTACTGTCCTTGCTCTTTTGTCTCCCAACAAGAACATGAAACAATTAAAGATATTATACTTCAGAAAACCATTGACGGACTGAAGAAAGAAGGATCTCCCTTCATTGGTAAGTCCGCATTCTTTCTTAGCCCTTATTAAACATATGATAATTTTCACTGGTACAAATGAACCCATCTAGAAAAAATATAACAGAAGGTATTGTATATTTGACCTTCACAATGAAACTATCTGCTGAAGAGGCTTTGGTGTAAGGCTGAAATATATATGGTAGTACTATATGCCTCTTGCTGCCTTTATTTTCTTTGTTGGTTCATTTGTATCATTGACCATTGTTTATCACACCTGGCCTGTTCTTCCTGAAATATCTATCTTTTTTCAAAGACTACATATGTCATTTAAATGTATAAAAATTGCACATAACTGTGGTGAAATGTACATTCTTCTTCTTCTTTCAACAAACTGGCCATATCCCACCAAAGCAGGGTGGCCCAAAAAGAAAAACAAAAGTTTCTCTTTTTAAATTTAGTGATTTTTACAGGAGAAGGGTTTGAAATGTACAGTGTTGGTTCTTTCTTCTTTCAACACACTGGCTGTATCCCACCAAGGCAGGGTGGCCCAAAAAAAAAAAAAAAGTTTCTCCTTTTACATTTAGTAATATGTACAGGAGAAGGGGTTACTAGCCCCTTGCTCCCGGCATTTTAGTCACCTCTTACAACACGCATGGCTTAGGGAGGAAGAATTCTGTTCCACTTCCCCATGGAGGTAAGAGGAAATAAACATGAACAAGAACTAGAAAGAAAATAGAAGAAAACCCAGAGGGGTGTGTGTATACATATGCTTGTACATGTATGTGTAGTGTGACCTAAGTGCAAGTAGAAGTAGCAAGACGTACCTGAAATCTTGCATGTTTATGAGACAGACAAAAGACACCAGCAATCCTACCATCATGTAAAACAATTACAGGCTCTCATTGTACACTCACTTGGCAGGACGGTAGTACCTCCCTGGGTGGTTGCTGTTTACCAACCTACTACCTAGAACAGTGTTGGTTATAAATTATTATTATTATTTTATTATCACACTGGCCGATTCCCACCAAGGCAGGGTGGCCCGAAAAAGAAAAACTTTCACCATCATTCACTCCATCACTGTCTTGCCAGAAGGGTGCTTTACACTACAGTTTTTAAACTGCAACATTAACACCCCTCCTTCAGAGTGCAGGCACTGTACTTCCCATCTCCAGGACTCAAGTCCGGCCTGCCGGTTTCCCTGAACCCCTTCATAAATGTTACTTTGCTCACACTCCAACAGTTAGTTTAGCTTAATATGTTTATTATGCACCCCATACCCATCCTGTGGGCGGTAGTCAAAAGATTACAGAGGTACATAATTGGTCCAGGGACTGGACTCCAAAGTTTTGATAGCTGAGCAAGTTACAGAGGTAATGAATTCACAATTTACAAAGGTAATGAACTCACAATTTACAAAGGTAATGAACTCCAGGTAGGTCTAGTCACAATCATGACAAGTTACAAAGGTATTTACAGATTACAGAGGTACGTAATGGGTCCAGGGACTGGGCTCCCAAAGTTGTGATGGCTGAACTAGGTACAAGGTAATGAACTCACAAGTTACAAAGGTAAAGAATCCTGTAAGAATGGTTAAATTACATTTATACATGGCTACAATCATGAAAAAAATTATGTGTAATGAGCAATTCACACTTCCCACACCCAGTCACAAAATGTAGTGAGTTA